GTCTTTTATTTTGTCCCATTTAAAAAACTTTTTCTATTCCATCTTTGTTCTCAGAAATGTTTCCCTCAAGATCCAAATATGTTCAATTGCTACCATTCTTCACGGTAACTTCCTTCATAAGCCCTCTTCCACTCCTGCTCTCCTCCACACTCAAGGAGAGGCCTTCAGCAGTCAGCCAGGCATGCAGAGCACGTAATATACTTTTTCTTTATTTCTGAATCCTTAGCCTGGTTGCTGGAGGAGCATGTTCGAGGAGTTCAATTACTGAGTCAAAGGATATGATTTGTCTTAAGGCTATTAGCAGTCAGGATGGTCAGATTACTTCCTCAGAAGTGTTTTACCAGATTCACATTACAGCTACAACAGCAGGTATATTTGTTTTGCAGGTATGCTTGCCAATACTTCATGTTTGTCTTTTTTCATCTTTGTTAATTTCATAGAAAGTATTATCTATTTTTTGTTTCTTTTGTGATTAGGAAGGGATACATTAGCAGATTCAAATTTTTGATTACAAAAACTTCAAGAAGAAAACTGAAGAAAATACTAAAGATTATGTGTATAGAGTATTTTCTAAGTGTGATTTAAGGCTGTAACATAAAGATATATGGCTGTATGAAATTTTAAATTTTGTGAATATCAAGAAATAATTGCAAGTGGGGAAAAGAAGCATTTGTACAAATTCAGATATAAAATCAAGTGAAACAATTGATTTTTGAGATAATTTTTATAATTAGAATTGTTTAAAAAAGGATTTTTAGCTATTGTAGATAAAAAAGAATGTAAAAGCAATGTAGGCTTAAAACTTTCAAATGCAAAAATTTCTTTGTAATGCAGAGTATCACAAAAACTTTTTTCATTTATAACAGTTCTGATGGGTTATTTATTTTAGTGTAATAGTTTTATGGCTAATATTGGAGAGCAGATGGAAGAAACATTTCTACAGTGATGTTTAAAAACTGTTGTTTAGGGGCCAGCGCCGTGGCGTCATGGGTTAAGACTCTGCCTGCATTGCAGTCATCCCATATGGGTGCTGATTTGAGTCCCAGCTGCTCTGTTTCGAATTCAGCTCCCTGCTAATGTGTCTAGGAAAGCAGCGGAATTAGGCCCAAGTGCTTGGGCCCCTGTGCCCACTTGGGAGACCCATATGAAGTTCTTGGTTTCCGGCTTCCGGCTTCCGTCTGGCCCACCTTGGTCATTGCTGCCATTTGGAGAGTGGACTAGCGGATGGAAGACCTCTCTCTGCCTCTGCTTCTCTCTCTCTCTAACTCTGCCTTTCAGATAAGTAAATAGATCTTAAAAACCAAACCAAAACAAAAAAACCCTACTGTTTAACTGGGAGGCTCTTTGGTATGTATTAATAGTAGTATGTATTAATTATTGATGGATAGACTCATCTCTGAGACCTTTGAGTCTTTGAAAAGTCTTTTTGGCTGAAAATATTTGTTTTATTAAGCAAGGTTATTTGTTACCAGTTTTCAGGTTTGATTCTACCATGCAGGAGAATATTCTTTGTTTGCTGAATAACCTGGAAGCCTTAGAAATAGATTTTTATGAATTTTAATGGTTATATCAGCCTGAACATTTTATAAATGACACCCAGAGAAGCAAGGTGGTTTGTTTGAACTATAATAGAGCAGTTAGTGGCAGAGGTAATCTAGATTTCCTTGATTTCTGCTGTTTTCATTATGTGGTTGCTGATTTCTAGTTTGTTACATTTGGGATATGCAACTTAAAGTATCTATTTTTAAATGACTCTGGAATGGAAATTAACCAGCTTTACATAAGTGGTTGCATATTTTGTTGAAACTGACGTTGGCTAGACTTCTGTATGTTTCTCTTGTCCATTTAACCTTAGATAATATCATAATGCACTCTAGCAGAATATTTGGGGATGTTGACTTGAACTTTAAATTTGTAGTTGAAATCTCTTTTTTTTGAAGTCTGATTTTCATTATGTGTCAAATGTGATTTTTATAGTGAAACCCAGGGCCTCTATATACTGAACTTCTGTGGACACACACTTTGGATTTTGAACTCTATTATATATGTCCTCTTTAATTTAATAATTAAATAATCTGTAGTTGTGAAGCACATGTGGAGTCAAAGATACTGCTTTTTATATAGAGTAATTTATGTTCATTAAATATTTATGTTTTTAACTCTGCTACTACTAACATATGGCAATACTGAAAGGTTGTGTGAGCAATAGGAATGTGATCCTTTAGGGACCTAATCTGTTTACAAGGTGCATACTTGCATCTTGCATATTTTAGTGGTAGTTAATAGTTAGATTTTTTATGAGAAAGTGATAAACTGGGGAAAAAGGCCTGTGGGATACCCTGTGAAGACCCTTGATGAGTGCTCAATGGCAACTTCCTTTCTTGTGGTTTCTCAGCAGATTAGCAGATCATTCTAAAAAAAAATTGTCTTCAAAGTCACAGAATGTCGGGGGAAACAAAAAGGAAGGTTCCTGTGTAACCAGAATTTAAACTAGAAACTGGATAGCATTTGTGGATAATGGACAATTAGAAGATCCAATATAGATTGCTTCTTGTTTTTATTTTCCTTCCTTTTCTCCTTCCTTGCTTCCCCATGGCATCAAGAGAGAGGAAGTTATGTTTTATGTTGACTCTATCAAGAACAGTGAGACTGTTCTCTCTTTAGAGGACTAAAAATAGATTTGTTTTTTGGATATGTACACTTAGGATCATTTTTGGGTTTCTATTAAATTGGTAGTTTGGTAACAAAATGAATATTTTTGGCCAGCGCCGTGGCTCACTTGGCTAATCCTCTGCCTGTGGTGCCGGCACCCCAGGTTCTAGTCCCAGTTGGGGTGCTGGATTCTGTCCCGGTTGCTCCTCTTCCAGTCCAGCTCTCTGCTGTGGCCCGGGAAGGCAGTGGAGGATGGCCCAAGTCCTTGGGCCCTGCACCCGCATGGGAGACCAGGAGGAAGGGCCTGGCTCCTGGCTTCAGATCGGCGCAGCGCGGCAGCCATAGCGGCCATTTGGGGGGTGAACCAACGGAAGGGAGACTTTTCTCTCTCTCTCTCTCTCTCACTCTCACTCTCACTCTCTCTCACTGTCTATTTGTCAAAAAAAAAAAAAAAAAAGAATATTTTTCTTGTAAATTGCAATTCTTTCTCTGTATATTCTTCTGAAATTTCCCTGGGAATGACCTTGCTTTTTTGCTGAAGCATAAAGTTTTGAAGGCTAAACATTGTACATTTGTGATGAAACTGAGATAATAAGTATAAGATATTATGAAGGCGATGAATAACCCTATAGGATGAATTGCATTGTGGTGCAGTAGGTCAAGCCACTACTTGTGATGCTTACTTCCCATACTGGAGTGCCAATTGAAGTCCCAGCTGCTCCACTTCCAATCCAGTAACCTGCTAATGCTCCTGGAAAGGCAATGAAATATGGCCCAAGTACTTGGGCTAGAGCCTCCAGTGTGAGAGACCAGGGTAGAGTTCCTGGCCTCTGACCTTGACCCTTCGTAAACCTGCCTGTTGATGGGCATTTGGGGAATGAACCAGAGTATGGAAGACTGCTCTGTTGTTGCCTTAGAAACAGTCAAATCCTTTTATTTATTAATTTTCATTGATTCTAAATTCCTGTTTGGTTGGATTTAGAAAAAAGGTATATTTTACTATATTCATTTATTAATTTAATTGATAACATTCTTTTCTTAGCAATGCTTACCTAGATGCTGGGAGTTTAGTTATGAACAAGGTAAAGATATCTGGAGCTTATATTCATCAAGTAAGACAGATATAAAACAGATTCACAATAAATGCTGTAAATAATGAAAGTTTTTCAACAAGTTCATGGAAAATGAAATGAAAAGTTAAATTTATTTTGGTTCCAAAATTTTTTAGATCCATGCATATGAGGGGTCTTAAAAAAGTTTATGGAAGGGGCTGGCGCTGTAGTGCAGCGGGTTAAAGCCCTGGCCTGAAACGCCAGCATCCCGTATAGGCACCGGTTTGAGACCCGGCTGCTCCACTTCTGATCCAGCTCTCTGCTATAGCATGGGAAAGCGGCAGAAGGTGGCCCAAGTCTTTGGACCCCTGCACCCACGTGGGAGTCCAGGCAGCGCAGCTCTGGCTGTTGCGGTCAACTGGGGAGTGAACCATCGGATGGAAGACCTCTCTCTCTCTCTCTCTCTCTCTCTCTCTCCCTCCCTCCCTCTCTCCCTCTCTCCCTCTCTCCCTGCCTCTCCTCTCTCTGTGTAACTCTGCTTTCAAATAAATAAATCTTAAAAAAAAAGTTTATGGAAAATGCATATTAGAAAAAACTGAATTTCAGAGGTCTTTGCATCAAAATAAATGTATCTTTTAATTCCATTTTCCATGAATTTAGTAAAGTTGTGATAAGTACTTAGTGGATGTTTTAAAAATCCATAATGTGGGGATTTTGATTTAGTTTGGGAATGAGGGATGACTTCCTTTACGATATCATTTGAGTTACCTTGCCCTTATCATGAATGTGATTGAGGCATTCATTTTAAATAGATACTTAGGGAAATAACCTAAATGTAAATTATTTCAGGTTTTTTAATAAACATGATAACATATTTGTATTACATTTTATTCTTGGTCTTCCATGTGCATGATTTAGTTGAAACTCTTGGATTCCTTCATTTTGATGATTTCCCCACAGTACCTATATGTGTGTGTGTGTGTATATGTGTGTGTGTGTATGTATATATATATAATCTTAAGACTTCATATATTCAATCCAACCTTAACATTTGACAGTTACTAAAAGCCTCCAATTTATAAAGAATTCAGAGTGTATTTGTTAAAGTGCATTAAATTTATTTTTTATGCCATTCTACTGATAAGCAAACCAAAGTTTTTCTAATGTCTATCTTTCCAGATAGACTGGGCTTCTCAAGGACAAATGCTAAATCTCCAGAGACTTGCAGGATGTCAGACACATAGTAAGTGCTAAATAAATATTGAACAAATCAATTATAAAAACTCTGTGGTAATAAGGAGGAAGCAACTTGGAGAGTGACCTTCATGTTTCTTTTAAGTGATTTCTTTTCTTTAGCATAAGAGTTAAGAGCAAGTGGGCCCCGGATATCATGAGGCTTATTTTTTTTTTTTTTAAGATTTATTTCATTTTATTTGAAAGTCAGAGTTACACAGAGAGAGAAGGAGAGACAGAGAGGTCTTCCATCTGCTGGTTCACTCCTCAGTTGGCTGCAAGGGCGGGAGCTGCGCCAGGAGTTTCTTACAGGTCTCCTACATGGGTGCACAGGGTCCCAAGGACTTGGGTCATCTTCTGCTGCTTTCCCACGCCATAGCAGAGAGCTGGATCAGAAGTGGAGCAGCCAGGACTTGAACTGGCACCCATATGGGATACCGGCACTGCAGGCAGTGGCTTTACCCACTACACCACAGCGCCGGCCCCACAAGGCTTGGTTCCTTACTGTGTATTCTTTGGCAAGTTAACTATATATCTGTATACCTCATTTTCCCCATCCTTAAAAAAAGGTGAGATTAGATGCATAAAGTACTTAGCATAATGTCTGACAAGGTTAAATGTTCTATAATGGTGGCCAATTATTGTGAGAGGCATACATTAAGTGTTTTATTTGTCTTTGTTTTATCTATGATGCTTAACATCTCTGATGTGTAGCACCTCTATTGGCACTAAATACTGATATGTATGAGAACAGGTAATTGACCCTTTCTGCAATTATGCCAAGTCTAAAAGTAAAAATTGTATAACCACTAGACTTTTGCTTATTGAATATAAACTTTATGGACCATCAACTATTGATAATTAAGTAGGTGGTTATGGCAGTTATTACAGTGACTACATTTCCTTCCTTTATGCATCAATATTTTTCTTTTTAATAAAGATTTAATTATTTATTTGAGTTACCCAGAGAGAGGGAGAGACAGAAGAGATCTTCCATCTACTGGTTCACTCCCTAGATGGCAGTGATGGCAGGGGCTGGACCAGACCAAAGCCAGACCAGGAGTTTCATCCAGGTCTCCCATGTAGGTCCAGGGGCCCACTGCTTTTCCCAGGGTATTAGAAGGGAACTGGATCAGAAGTGGAATAGCCAGGACTTGAACCAGTACCAATATGGGATGCTGGCATTGCATGCAGTTTTATCCACTATGCCACAATGCAGGCCCCACATCAGTTTTTTAACAAAACAAAATAGTGTTTAACAAATAAATTTTTCTGGATTAAAAGAATCAAGTAATATTCTCAGTGTATCTTTATGTAGATGAAAGATTTTTAGTATATGAAGTTTTGCTTGAATGGAAGTGTATATGTGTGTGCTTGTAATATTTACATGTGGGGGATCGAAAGAGATCTAGTCTGCATTTCTAATTTTTCAGTTCCTCTTAATAAACATAATTTTAAATGCTTCTCTACTACTCTGTTTACCTGTATAGTGAATAATAGTAACACTCTTTTATGTTTCTTTTTTCTTTACATGATTCATACAGGCATTTTCTGAGCATCCTTATGAAAGTAAAGAATGCCCTTATTGAGGAAAGAAATGAGTATTCTAAGGTTTCAAAGCTGACTGTAAAATTTCTTTAACTTCTATCTTAGGTTATGATTTGCTGACAAAATAAAACAGATGCTCCCTGAAACAAAAGCAAAGGAAAAAAATGCCTGCAAAGAAACAACCCAAAAAAGATCTTTAAGGGCTTCTTATTTTACCTTTTTAAAAAATGCATGTAAATGTTTCCAAAAGAAAAATATTAACCATTTTCATGTAAATTCTAGGTTTTGGAACTTGCAATATAGTTCTAAGAATTAAAAATATTTGATTAAAATATTATGGGGATAAATGGCCTTTTGAAAAGATTTTTGTCTGTTTAAGAAATGTTTTGATGGATTTGTTAGATTTACGTGCTTCTTAAAAAACTTAAAAGATGGAATTCAACATGTAACCAGGGTTTTTAGGGGTCCATTTATAGGAGTTTGGTACAAAATTGGAAACAGCTGGCAGTGTTATATAAAGCAACCCAACAACCTATCGGCTGAGAATATAATGTAGTGAGTGTTGCATTTGCATGTCTTGTCTTAAATGACTTCATTTGTTTTGTTTGCTTCTAAGTTATCAAAAGTAGGAATCAGGCTTTCTGTTTTTAACAATTGTAATATCCCAAAGTCACAAATCAGATCCTCGATGGCTTGATTCTGATCTTTTCATATGCTAAGGCTTTTTGTTTTGTTTTACCAAGTTATTTTACTAGCTCCTTAATCTTAAATTGAAATTTTAGAAATCTCAGTCTGTATTTCTCAAGATAATTTACTAAGTATTATACAATGTACATTAAAAGAGTGGACTTGTATATAAAATTGACCAAGTTAAAGTAAATTTTTCTCTCATTGTGCCATATGCATTTTTGGACAGTTTTTCCTTGTTGATGTGTTTTAGTTCTATGTTTGTCTCTTGATTAACAAAATTAGACCATGATGATTAAAATCCATCCTCCTTGTAATTTTGGCTTTTAACATATTAGCAGTGGCTATTTTTCTGTTTCAGACAGCCCAGTTTGGGAGTTCTAGAGAAAGTAGATAAAAGCCTTATTATGTTTATATTAAGCATTCTGATTTCTAGTGTAAATACCTTTAAAATGATAAATACTTCCCCCTCCCTTTTTTAGTGGAATGGAGGTTTAGGGAAATCTCTCAGGAAATTGAAAATTATAGTAATATTTTTGGACCAGGAGAATCTTTGATGTTGATTTAATCATTTGCGGCGCAGATTTAAAAAAATAAATAAAACTTGGGACTTTTAAAACTACCTTTAAAAAAAACACTTTAAAGTATTCCTGAAATGGAACTGCTCACTGACACCTAGAGAGAAGTTTGATTTAGAAGAATTCAAGAGTGATCAAAGAAGGAATGATTGTTCCAGTTTGGAAATCTCTGTGCATGGGTTACAGTCTTGTTGCGATTGGTTGGAAAGTAAACTATTTTCTTGAACTATGATTGGCTAAAATCCTTTTCTTTCCACGATATTTACTTTTTAATATAACTGATTCTGGAGCCTTTCCCTGTTTTCATATCTGACAAGGGCGTTTGAGCTGTGTACCAGTACTAAAAGTACAGATTGGTGCAGAGACAATTTGTGAAATTTAAGGATGCTGACAAAAGCCCACAGCAGATCGCGTAGGGTTCCTTATAACAAAGCAGTGGCGTGTAAATCTCTGAACAGCTCACACAGAAATTAGTGTCGCTGTAATTGGAAACATTAAAGGATGTTAGCCTTTTCTCCTTTTCCATTTAAATTCGTGGACTGTTGTTCCGCTGTGATTGAGTTCTGTGGGCATCGCTTCGCATTACTGCTGGGACTGCAGTACTAATTCGGGCTAAATTCATGCTAACCCAGACGGCAGGCGCCATGTGCTCATCTGGAGATGAGGCGTTTAACCTGGAGTTTATTTTGTGGTCCAGTGCCATCAGCACACTGCACTTTCACCTCCCCCTCACCTCTGAGGGAGCGGCGAATACAAAGGTGGACCCCACACGCTGTGTGCCGTATTGCTGAAGCAGAGTACTAGCTTCCCCCGCGCCTTGGCCCTGGAGCAGCAGTCAGCTGCAACCTGGCAGTTCCCGCGGCCGCCGCAGCGCCGGGCACTACTTTCCGTCTGCGGTGGTTCCGCCGACCCTCTCTCTGCTCCCTCCCCCCGCCGCGCCGGCGGAAGGAGACGCGCGGCGCGCTCGCGGCCGAGCCAGCGCCTGGGAGGCGGAGTAGTACTGGCCGCGGCGCTGTGGCGGCGGCGGCCGCCGGAGCTGCGTGTGGGGTTTCTGTCAGTTTTTATGGGTGTGTGTGTGTGTGAGTGTTTATGTAGCTGCAGCCCCAAGTTGTGAGTCTGGGCGCCTTGGGAGCTGTTGGGGACACCGAGCGACCGAGGTCGCTGCGTCCTCCAGGCAGAGCGTCCGGTGCGCCCCGAGTCCGCGCGCTCTCGCTCGTGGGACCGCCGCCGTCTCCCGGTCCGGTCTCCGCAGCATGAGCGGCCGGTAGGAGCCGAGTTTCGCAGTTCCTCTCTCTGGAGAATACAGCGGTCGCTTAAGCAGCTACGGCCATGGCGGTGGAGACGCGGCCGGAGCTGGTGGGGAAGCGGTTCCTCTGTGTGGCGGTCGGCGATGAGGCGCGTCCGGAGCGCGGGGAGAGCGGACGCAGTTGGCGGAGCTGGCGAGCCGGGGTCATCCGAGCCGTGTCACACCGGGACAGTAGCAATCCAGACTTGGCGGTAAGCGAGCGCCTGCCCACATCAGAGAGCCGGTGTCTGAGCCTCACCACCTCGGCGGCACCTGGCTCTGCCCGCACCACTGGCGGTCACGCCCCTCTTTGGAGCCCACAGAGTTTGCCCCGCTGTCCTGCCCGGGTCTTCGCCCCACGGCAAGTGGCTTCCCAGGCAGAGGCGGTGTCGGAGCCGGACTCTCCTGTGTCCCCAGACAGCCTCGGAGGCCCCTCGGTCTCAGTGCGGGGGCGGGGGCGGGGGAGCGGCCGAGCCGGCCGCGGCCGCCGAGACCTCAGCGGAAGGCGGGGCTGGGAGCGCGGGGCCGCGAGCGGTGCGGGCCCCTCGGGAGCGGTGTGTGGCCAGCTTCCCTGGCACCTTTCTGCTGGCGAAAGTCTGTACAGTGCGGGGGCTTGAGCCTTAAAACTTAGCCATAAGGTTGCTGAAGGGGAGGAAAAACTGACAGATCTCTTGGCTTTCCAGAGATGTGTGTGTGTGTGTGTGTGTGTAGGTGTAGGTAAGGCCGTGGCAGTGGCGATATCCTGATTCACCCTCTGCTTCGTAGATGCTTAGCTTTCTAGCCTCAAACGATGAAAACGAATATTTTTGGTATGCCAGGTAACAGAAATTCCTCTCTTTTCCCTCTAGCCCTCTGTCCGCCCTTGTTAGAAACGGGTAGTGCTTAGGGTAAACATGTTCCTGGGTGTTTACACGATTTTAATTCAATAAAACTACAGATGTTGTCAATTAAAATGTTAAATGCCCCACAGAACCTTTATCCTTATACGTGACACTGCCAGTATTTGCTTCAGTAGCGTAGGTATGTGCCTGACTGAGAGGGGACATGTTATGCTCCAAGCAAAGCATCTCTAGGGGACAGGCTTGAAGATAAGGGGTGGAGTTGAGTCAATATATTGTGTTTCTCAAGGTTGACTTAAAATACATATTCCTAGTGCTTCGGAGTATTTACCTTTTCACTGAAAATTTCACATTTAGAAGTATTTTCCCCTTGTGTGTATGCAGGCCAATTCCAAATTCACAGTTATATCTACATAAACCTGCTTATTTTAATATTTTTCTTAGGAGCTTTTGAGTGTTTTTGTAAATCCATTTTCATCACGGTTTCATGTGGAGTGTTTTAATGTTGACTTGATACTGCAAAATAGGTTTGCTTTCCTAGTAGATATTTCTAATAGGAAAAAAGCAAAGTCGAGGTAATTTTGAATATATTTGGTTATTTTTATTCGAAAGAGGGAAAAGAATCTTCATTAAGCATTGATTATGTTCATGGTTCTAGGAATTGTGGTATTTCAATGCAGTAACTACTTTTGTTTCTTTAGAAGGCATTTCTCCTACTCTAAATTGTCTTGGCTTTTATGTGGAAGCTAGTTGGATGATGGTTTAGCATTTTTAAATAATGACGAGTGATAAATTGTGTTTACTTTCTACAGTATTTTGCTTTAGTAGATATATGAAAATTAGGAAATACAGTTAAAAGCTATCATTGGTGACAGGTTAGCAAATTAATTATATTGAAGACTTGATTACTTAGTTGGAAATTTAAGTGATATAAACAGGTGATTGACATGTCAAGTTTGTAATTTAGAAGATATGAACCCATTACTGAGGGGCTCGCGCTGTTGTATAGCAGACACAAGTTCGAGGCCCTGCTGCTCCACTTCCAATCCAGCACTCTGCTATGGCCTGGGAAAGCAGTAGAAGATGGCCCAAATCCTTGGGCCCCTGCACCCGTGTGGGAGATCCAGAAGAAACTCCTGGCTTCGGATCGGCACAGCTCCAACCATTGTGGTCATTAGGGGAGTGAACCAGCGGATGGAAGACTGACTCTCTCTTTCTCCCCCACCCCCCCACCCCCGCCTTTCAAATAAATAAGTAAATCTTACAGAAAAAAGAAAGAAAAATATATTACTGAGTCATGGTGGGGTTTAACTGGAAAGAACGGGAAGGAATTTCTTCAGGTGGTAGAAGTATTTTGTTTCATCATTGATTTCATAGGTAAAAATTCATTGCAAATTTGCCAAAAAAGTTTTAAACCAAAACTATGTGAACCTTTGACCAGTATTCCTTTGTACAACAATCTTATTTGAAAAATGAATGTTACTGCTTATAGTGTAAGTTTGTTTTTAAGCCTAGAACCAACATTTTTAGGTTTCCAAACTTTCTTACATTCATACTTTTTAAAAAAGATTTATTTATTTGAAAGGCAGAGTTACAGAGAGAGAGAGAGAGAGAGGGAGAGACACAGAGAGATCTTTCATCTGCTGGTTCATACCCCAAATGGCCCTGCCAGGGCTGAGCCAGGCTGAAACCAGGAGCTTCTTTTGGGTCTCCCTTGTGAGTGCAGGGGAACAAACACTTGGGCCATCTTCCACTGCTTTCCCAGGTGCATTAGCAGGGAGCTGGATCGGAAGTGGAGTAGCTCGGACTCAAATTGTGGCCTATATGGAATGTTGGTGTTGCAGGCGGTGGCTCTACCTTCTGCATCACAATGCCAGCCCCATACTTCTTAAGTGACACTTAAGTGAACAATTTGGCATTAATGTGCAACATATTGTTCCTTTAGACCTTTATTACTACAGTGTAAACATAAAGAGCATGATCAGTTCTATGAAAAACACTTACAAGCTGTTCTTAACTTTTTGATTTTTTTGCTGCTGAAACCCATGTTTTGTTTTTAAAGTTGTAAATATATAATTAAAAACATGTAGTTATTTTAGAAGCTTTAGTGTTGTACATTTATATATTACATGATTTTGAAGGATAACTATCAAAACCTGAAAATAAAAAATATTATATCTCTAAGTTAATCAGCTATTCTTTTGGTCTTATGAAGACTTGGCCACTTACATTAATATCTTAGCACTGCCCTAACTAATTACGCAATCTTGGTGGATTAAATGCTACAGATTTATCTTATGTTTCTTGATCACAGATCTGATCTGACCTTCCTAGGCTAAAATCAAGGTGTGGCAAGACTGTAAAGTGGAGGCTCTAGGGGAGATTCCCTTTTTTTTTTTTCTTTTTTTAGTATTTAGATACTGTTCTTATTCCTTGGTTCATGGCCTTCTTCCTTCATCTTAAAAGCCAGGTTGAATCTCTGACCATTCTTCCCTAATCACCTCCCTCTCACTCTCCTGCTTCTGTCTTGCATTTTAAAGTGTGTTTGTGATCACAGTGAGCCCAAATAATCCAAGATGATCTCAACACCTATTAATATTCATAATTCCATCGGAACCTTAGTTCCTCTTTTCTGTGTAAAATAGTGTAGTCATAGATCCCATGGAATAGGACATGGCTATCTTTAGGATGACATTATTCTGATTGGCATATCATGGTAGCAAACATATTCCTGTACAATATGAAAGTACATAATGCAGTACAGTGAAGACTAAAATTTTACTTTTTCATGCCAGGAGTTTTAGTCATACTACTATCTGGTGTCTTAGGTAATGAGTTTAATTGATGGAATTCTTACTAGATTATGTTAGGATAATTTCAGATGTTTTGGTGACTTTTTGAAAAATGAGTTGATAACCCTCTGGGATATCCATACTGGAATTATATTTGGAATTATATTGATCATCAAGAGATTTATCTGAACCCTTTCTATGCAGGAGGCCTGAGATTTGAAGGTAAGATTAGATAAACTATATCATGAGTCTCTGCATGTGGAGTTCTTTTTTTAGACTTTTGCAAAGGTTCTTGTCCAGGCTAGCACAGTAGCATAGCGGGTTAAGGCCCCGGCTACTTCATTTCCCATCTAGCTCCCTGCTGCACCTAGAAAAGTTGCAGAGGATGGCTCAAGTCTAGGTCCCTGCACCCATCTGGGAGACCCTGATGAAGTTCCTGGCTTCGGCCTGGACCAGCATGCAGCCGTTTGTTAAGTGAAGATGGAAGATCTGTCTCCGTTTCTGTCTCTCCCTCTCTCACTGTAACTCTGACTTTCAAATAAGTAAGTACATCTTTAAAAAAAACAAAAAGGTTCTTGTCTTGCATCCATTGGTAAACATTACTATTGCCCTGTGTTTTAAAAAAAAAATTATTCTTATAAGAGACAGCATTCTCATCTGCTGGTATACTCCCAAATACCTATGATGTCCAGGGTGGCCAAGGCTGATCCTGGGGCCATAGTAGGGAGACCAGCTCAATAAGGACCTCTTATGTGGGTGCAGGGACCTAGGTATCTGACCCATCACTGGCTGCTTTCTAAGGTACACATTAGCAGGAATATTGAGTCACGAGTGGAGCTGGGACTTGATCCCAGGTAGTTCAATATGAGATGCCTGCATCTTAATCACTAGGCCAAATGTCTACCCTACCCTAGATTTTGAGAAACTTCTAAAAGATTGAGCATATCATAGAAGGAGAACTGGCAGTTGAGAATTATTGTTTCATAATATTATCACTGAAAAAATTATGCTAATTAAAGAGCAAAAGTCAATTTACTCTTCATTATCTTCCACATCCTATTAGTAATTTATTTATCATCCACCCACACACAGCCACCCATCACCACCTGCCTTTTAACCCTGTCTGAAGTATATTTAAGAAAACATTTCCAGAGATCACTTGGAGAGAAGTAGCCAATCTGAGAAAGCAGATTTTAAATTGTACTGAACTGTGTACTTGCAGCTCAAAGTTATTTAGCAAAATTTGCCTTTAAATAAAACACATTTAGGAATTTTAAAGTGATTTATGCTTAATTTATAAGTTAACTCCTTTTAGTTCTACATATTTCTGTTCAACTTTCTTATTTAAGTTGGCTATTGAGTTGATGGCATTTGATTTCCTTCAGTGTTTGTTCAGATAATTCTCAGGTTGTCTGATACAGTTCTGCAGTATAGATAATGCTAATTTCTGGTCTGTTCACAAAGTGATGATGAATGAAATAAGGATTTTCATTCCATTGATCAATATGATTTTGATAGGTTAACAAATGTAGGGAAAATTGGTTTAGCTGGTAGGTAGAAAGACTTTTATATCAGATTTGA